AAGGAACATGGTAAACCCTCAAGAAATATTTTTGGATGAATGGCTAGATGGATGAATGGATCCCATCCTATAACTTGCAGAAAACACAGTTTGCTGCATTTTCTCAGGGGACACAGACCTGTCACATTTTTTGCACTTCCCAATGTATATGTGTGTGTGGGGGGGGTGGGGATAGAGTGATGGGAAGAAAAGAGCATTGATATCAGGCATTTTACCTACATTTTACTACTATAGGTATGATTCCCAATTTACTGGGAGCTAGGTAGCCTGAGGCACAACTCCCATGCCTGCTACCTAGATGTGGGACCTAACGACTCACCATCATAACTAGGAGCCTTTGAGCAGTGCACAGACTACCCAACCATCCTGGCAGCCCTGCTGACCTTGCTAAGTTGCTCTGAGGCTGAAAAGGGATAATGTATGTCCCAGTGTCTAGCTCGAGGCAGGACATAGAGCCCATGAACAACAAAGGCTGTTCTTTTGCTCTCACAGACCTTGCCGTCCAGCTCTGTTGAATCTTTACCCCTCTGGGCCTGAGGTGCCACAGGCAGATGGAGTTAAGTGAAAATAGCTCATCAGAGACTGTCCTGAACAAATGAGGAACAATTCACTGAGGCCTGAGGGCAGGACTGAATAACAAACTGGAGGGGACAGCAGGACCTACTCACCCTGAGGCCACTCCCCCACCCACTGGGAAAGAGAGGAGGAAGACTAGACACTGGTGCTTTGCCCAGGTGGTAGGCTGGGGGGCAACACAACACTCCCCTCGCAAGCCCCCTGCAGCCCAGGTTCCCAGCCGCCTGCTCTTCCAACCTCCCTGCACTGTCCCAGACCCAGTGTGGGGAGCCACCTACATGGCGTTGGCGGTGACCAGCAGGTCGGCGTTGTCAAAGAGGGTGACGCGGGGCACCTCAACAATGAGCACGTATGTGAGCTCAATGGCCAGCATGAGCACCAGCTTCCCAATGCAGCTGATCTGCAGGAACACGGAGCAGGCCAGCAGGCTGAGCAGCACGCTGTAGGTGAAGTACTGCGGAGAGAGGGCAGCGGGCTTCAGCGCCCTGGCCCCACCCTTCCCGGCCCCACGCCCCGCCCCCCTGAGCCAGCCACGTTTTGGCCAATGGGAACCTGTGACGAAACCAGAAGGGCCCTGGTTAGGAACCAGAAGATGGGGCTCTAGGCTGAGTCTGGCCAATGCTGGCAGCAGCGCCCAGTGGTTAGAGCAGAGCTCCAGGCTCAGGCAGTCTTGAGTTGTAACTCTGATTCATTGTGGACTGTTGGTGTGACTTGCGCCATTTATTCAACTTTTCTAAGCCTCATTTTCCCCATCTGCAAAAGCTCCAATGTCACGGGCTCACCGCTGCCATTCCATGAGAGGAAGCGCCTGGTGCCCTCAGTAACTGCAGAGAGCACAGGCCCCAGCCCCTGACCTGCAACGTGAAATCCCACGGTTTGCAAACCGAAACTATTTTCATGACTAATGTGGTGGCAACATCTGAACTGGCCTTATTTAGTGACAAAGACTGTCCCACGTGATGTGATGCTAATTATCATCTTTAGCCTGCTTCTGGGGACGATTCATACATTTTGCTGCAGAAATATTACTGTATTTCATTATCAGGTGCTGCCCAGGCTACACTGGGGGTGTGAGATACTCTTTCAAACTCTGAAAAATTCCAAAGTTCTGAATCTGTCTGGCCCAGAAGGCTGCAGACCAAGGATTGTGTCCCTACACGATTTACCCTGGGGAAGTCCCTTCTGGTCTTGGAGCCTCGGTTTCTTTCTCAGACAATAAGGAGCTGAACCAGAGACCTCGGAGGTTCCTTTCTGTTCTGTCGTCCCCTGATGCTAATCCTAGACATGCCACCGTCGTTATTTTGTTCTTTCTTTTAAACTTAGCATCGTGACTTCTGAGTCAGGCACTCAGACTCACTATGCACTTCCTCTGCTTTGGGCTGGAGGCCAAATGGCAGTGGGGGACGCTCCCAGGTTGGACCTTGAGCCTCTTCAGGCCTTCAGGAACCCAGAGAGGGGATACAGAGGGCCCCCTGGGAGGGGCCAGCCTCAAGCCACTACCTGGAACAGGGGCAGAGGAAGGAGTGGGGGGGGCTCCACCCAGATAAAAACAGCCCCAAGGATAATAATCCTGTCCTTGGGGGCGGCGGGGGAGGTGCGGGGAGGGAGCCCCCAGGGCCAGCCTGGATGCCCATTCAGACCCTGAGCCAGACAGCCAGGAGGCCAAGGCTTACAGGTGGTGTCCCCAAGGGCCTTGGGATCTGTGAGGAGTTGCTGAATCAGAAGACATGTGAGCCTGAGAGCTCTGTAGTCATCAAGGCCTGGGGTCAGTGGGACTGGAACTGGTCAGACTGGTGAGGGCTGAAGGCTGGGACCAACCATCTCCCTCAAGTGAGGAGCTGGAATAAGCCCTGCAGCCACCATCCCCACTCTCTTCGCCCACTCCTCAGCATCTGCCATGAAGCAGCAGCCACCAAGGGGCAACTGTAAGATCAAACAAGCCCCTGCTTCTCAGCAAACAGCCCTCAAGCAGCAGCTCCTGTGAGCTCCGCCAGTTGCACGAGGGAGCAGAGGCAGAAGGGAGACTCGGCTGCTCCTCCCTCCACCGCCCCGGCAGGTTGGGAGGGCTCAGCCGGACCCAGCGGCAGGTGGAAGACAGGCGCTTGTCTAGGTGAATGCTGGCGGGAGTCCTGCCCTTCATGGAGGTTCCCTTGTCCCATCTGTACAGGGGAGATGGATCGGGCTCCTTCCCAGGGCTGGGGGAGGGAGGCCAGCTCTGTGACTGCCCCGGCGGCCCTCATTGCAGTTCTGGACCTTTGTGTGAGTCACGGGGCCCTTTTGGAACTGGATGAAAGCTTGGACTTTCCCCAGAAAAGGGTAACAACAACTATCACCTCACAGGTTCCGTGAGAGCCCCGAAGGCAGCTGGGGTATGGGAACTACCCAGTGCATGCAGTAGACGCCCTGGGTTGGAAGCCTGGCCTCAGGCTCGGAGAGCTTCCTGAGGAAAAGGTGAATGACGCACCGCACATACCATCGGCACTTAATGCATGCCGCTCTCTAAGGGTTCTCGGTGTTTAAACCCAATCACCTATGGGTATGATTTCTTTGGGGGTGATGAAAATGTTCTACCTAGATTACGATGATGGCTGCACACATCTGTGAATATCCTAAAAGCCACTGAATTGTATGTACACTTTGAATGGATGACCTTGATGGCAGTACCGGGTTGGGACTGGGTTCCTTTGCTTCCCTCCCTGCTCTCTGGCCCATAGCAGAGAAGCTCAGGCAGGTTCTCCTGAGGCAGGCCTGCTCCAAAGTGAAGGGTCCACAAACAGGTCTGCCCTCAGGTTAAGGCTAAGAATTCTGGAGCCAGAGGACCTGGGTGAAAGCTCTGGCTTTACCACTTCCTAGCTGTGTGACCTTGGGCAAGCGACTTACCCTCTCTGTGCCTCACTTTCATCTGTGTAAAAAAGACGTTAACAGTGTCTATGTCAAAGGGCTGCTGTGAGGACGAAATAAGTAAATCTATGTCAAATACTCAGCACAGTGCCTGGCCCATGGCAAGCATGCTGTTTTACTGTTGCATGGAGAAGGCTGGCCTCATTCACTGATGTACGGCACACGGACTGAGAGACTGGGACAAGGTCTCTGGGATGGCTGTGAGCTTGAGAGCCCTTGACTCCCCCAGAGCAGCCAAAAGCAGAGAGGGAGCGGGGCAGAGGGGTCTGTCTGCACCCAGAGCCCCCTGCCCATTACCTCGGGGAAGTTGCAGTTGGGCCGGGGGCTGCTGCAGAAGCCCTGCTCGTCACCCAGGCTGTAGTTGACTGCCGACTCCACCACATGGCACGCGTTGACCTGGCTGGTGCTGATGTTGTGCTCGTCCGCCAGGCAGCCAAACAGGTCCTTGGAGTTACACATGAACTAGGGGCAGCAGGGGAGAGGGTCAGCTGTGGGGGCCAGGCGAGGGCAGCCCATCTCCACAGGGCAGCGGGTGTCTGTCCACCCTGGTCTCAGGTGCAGCCTGACACTGACAGGGGGGACAGGAGAGGAGCCTGGAAGAAGTCAAGGAGCCGGCAAGGTTGGCCCGGCTGCCCAGGCTAGGGCTCGTAAACGTCCCCTGGGGACTTCCTGAGTCTTTCTCGTCCCTCCAGCCTTGAGAGCAAGGAACTAAAAGCCTGTGTGAGAGGCTTTAGGAGTCAAATCTGAATCCAGACCTGAGGGGAAGACCGAATAAGAAATTCTGGGGGAGAGGGAGCTCCAGGGAGGCGTGGGGGGTAGAGCCACCTACCATGTTGACAAAAGCCGACAGGAACACCAGGGTGATGGTGAACACTCCGACCAGGGTGCTGTTCGTCTTGGACCGCACGATCTTCCTGGAAAGGGTCTGCAGCGGGGCCGGGAAGAGCTGAACCAAGGGAAGAGGAGGGAGAGAGAGACAGAACAGAGTTCAGTGAGGACTCTCCAGACCGCCATAGAGGAGCTGGGGGAGCCCTCCCTCCCCTCCACCTTTGTCTCGTGCCAGCATAACCCCAGGTCCTTTCTGAATGCCCTCCTAGTGTGCAAGTGTGCGATGGCTCACACCACTGACCCACTGCTCCCGGCCGACGACAGCACAGAATCTGTGGCTGGCCAGGAGTGAGTCTACCTGGGAAGCTTACAGGGGAGAGAGGCGTGGTGGAAGGAAAGGTGCTATCCTGCCCCCAGCAGAACAGAGGAAAAGGCACATGAATCCGCCATGTGAGTTCTGGGCTGGTCAGGGTTACAATCAGGCAGTTAAGGAAGCCTGGAAGGACCCAGAACTTTCCCAAGGAGGGTCGGAAGGCTTCTTGGCAGTAAGAAGCTGTGGGTCTGAGGACTTGGAGAAAACTTAGGGTCTGAAGGGAGGAAATGGGCTTGTGAGAAGGGGACAGAGTAGCATGTGAGCAGGAGGGTGGGGCCCTAGACAAGTGAATTAAGTGAACCTTTTGTTCAGGACTCCCATTGATCTCCTGTTTCCCCTCACCTACCCTCCCTACATTTCCTTCAATTAGACAAACAGCATGTCCAACCAAAGACCCACCTCAGTTTTGGTAGCTAAATGACCCAGTCCACTGTATCTACACAGTTGGCTTTGTCCACCATGGCGGGTGCCAGGAGTAAAGGCAGAGTGGGGAGTTAATTGGTTAATGGGTATAGACGTTCAGTTTGGGAAGATGAAAAAGTTCTGGAGACGGACAGTGATGATGGTTGCACCAGAGAGTGAATGCATTTAATGCTGCTGAACTGTACATTTAAAAAGGTTACAACGGAGAATTCTGTATTATGTACCATTTAAGAAAGAAAGCAAAAAGACAACCCAGAGAATAGGAGAAAATTGTTGCAAACCATATCTCTAATAAGGGTGCTGCAACCAGAATACAGTAGTCTCCTCTTATGCGTGGGGATATATTCCAAGACCGCCCCCCCCAGAGGCCTAAAATTGTAGACAGTACAGAAATGCATATATACTATGCTTTGTCCTATATACATACACTTAGCATAAAGTTTAATTTATAAATTAGGCATGGTTAGACATTAATAACAATAACTAATACAAATGTAGAACAATTACAAAAATATACTACAATAAAAGTTATGTGAATGTGGTCTCTCCTCTCTCTGAAAATATCTTATTGGATTCGCCCTTCTGCTGACGATGTGAGATGATAAAATGCCTACGTGATGTGAGGAAGTGAGGTGAATGATGTAGGCACCGTGAGGTAGTGTTAGGCTACTAGTGACCTTCTGACGATACGTCAGAAGGAGGGTCATCTGTTTCCAGACCACAGGAACTGAAACCATAATAAATGAAATCATGGATAAGGGGGGGACTACAGTATACAAGGAGCTCTTCCAACTCAACAATAAGACAACCCAATTTAAAAATGGGACAATGATTTGAATAGGTATCTCTCCAAAGAATCTATACAAATGGCCAATGAGCACATGACATGAAAAGATGTTTGTTGTGAGTCATCAGGGAAATGCATATCAAAAACATGAGATACCAGCTCACACCCACCAGGATGGCTATAATCCAAAAGTCAGGTGATAGTAAGTGTTGGTAAGGACATAGGGATATCAGAATCCTCATCCATTGCTGGTGGGAATGTAAAATAGTGCAGGTGCTTTGGAAAACAGGTTGGCAGTTTCTCAAAATGATCAACAGTTACCATATGACCCAACAACTGTACTTGTAGGTATATACCCAAGAGAACTAAAAACGTAAGTCCATGTAAAACCTCGTATACAAATGTTCATAGCAGTACTATTCATTATAGCTTGAAAGTGGAAACTACTCGATAAACTAAATGTGATATTTCCACAGAATGGAATGTCATTTGGCCATGAAAAGGAACAAAATGTTTTTACATGATATGACACGGGTGAACCTTGAGAGTATATGCTAAGTGAAAGAAGACAATCTCAAAAGGCCACACGTTGTAGGAGTTCAGGCAAATTCATACGGACAGAAAGGAGAGTTTGAGGCTGCCAGGGGCTGTGGCGAGCAGGGAATGAACAGCGACTGCTAACAGGTATGGGGTTTCTTTTCAGGATGATGACAATGTTCTGGAATTATAGTGGTTAACAGTTGCCCAACTTTATGAATATACTAAAAACTACTGAATTACAGTTTCATCCACCTTCATAAAGGTGCATCTTATAGATGTGAATTGTATCTCAATAAGGAACTTATTAAACAGCTCTTACCAGCTGCCTGACCCTGGGAAAATCATCAAGGGCTCTGAGCTGCAGCTTTCCTATTTATATGTAGGGGAGATCTATCTCCCAAGGTGGCCATGAAGACTCGTGAAATGATGCATACCAAAGTGCTTCGTGAGCTGCTAAATTCAATAGAAAATTTAGTTAATATTTGCATTTTTAAAGAGCTCTATTGCCAGTAAGAGTGAAAACCCCTGTTTCCTATTGAAGGACTTTTTTTTCATAGATGGGGAAAGTGTTCTGGCACTAGCATGAGGATCCCACTCTGAAAAGGTATGACAGATGGTTTCTAATTTTTGTCTGCTTGAAATGTTGCCATTCCATCCTATCCCCCGACCCATGTTATTTAAATAATTTCAGTTCTAATCGCCCTATCCATCAATTGAAGGGTTTCTTTTATTATTTTGCACTCGCCGATGAGATGTAGGCAAAAGTTATTAGTTATTAGAAATTGGCTGGGGAACAGGATATGCACACGGGCTTGCTTCCCCGGGGAAGGTGGGACCAGGAGCCCCACAGGGGCCACCCAGAGGCCGGGAGAAAAACTGCAGGCTATTTTTAAAATTCAGGCTGGAAAAGTACTTCACATCTAACAAATGATTGGCTTTTAATGCACTGGCTTGCTACAAGCCGATTTCCTTTGTCATCCTTTAAAAAGACCTGCTCTTCACTTTAAAACTTCAAATCTCCAGAAGATTTGACATCCTGCTCTGGTATCAGTTGATATAGGGTATCTCATCTCCTGTAGTCAAAAAGTTCATCTATATATTGACCCTAACTCCCATCATATTAATCCCAGTGCGGACGGTGAACGTCTTCACCTGGACAGAGTTTTCTCACAGAGATGCATCACAGCTGCCACCAGATCTTGGAGACTATTTTTTTTTTTTCCAGCAGGATAATTGTGCCTGTGCAAACAATTGTTCAATGCCTGCTCACTCACAATTAGAGCTCAAAAAACAAAAACAAAAACAAAAACAAAAAGATTAAAAAAAAATTCCAAACCAGTACATTCCCAGTCCGATGAACTCAAATCAATTCAACATGAAATACAGGAGTGGGGACATAATTAATAAACCATGACTGGGGTGAAGGACAGTTTTGATCTCGGCCACTCTGAAAACCTCCAGGCAAATTGATGACCAGCCTGGGGTCCTGGTTCTGTGATGTGGGGTCAGGGTATTGCAGAGATGAAAAAAGGTGATGAAATCTAATGGGGAAAAAAATGAAGAAAACAGCCTTTTTGACAAGAAACTGATTTTAAAAAGCAGTAGCTCCTACTTTACGACATTTTTTTTTTTTTAAGATATAAAAACTGCAGAGGCCAAACAAGGCAGGCTCCACACCACTGCACTCCTTGGGGTCAAATGGACATATTAACAAAAGCAGTGTCTTTGGGAGGAAGGACTGTGGCTCTGGAATCTAGAACCACTGGGGTTTAAATCCCAGCTATGGCACCTCCTAGCCCCAGGGCTTCAGGAAAGCTGCCTAACCTCTCTGAGCCTCACTGACCCCATCTGCAGTATGGATATGATAAACGCCCTCTTCAAAGCTTAGAAAACACAGCTCCAAGTGCAGAGCTGGGATGCGGACCCTCAACTGCCTGGCTCAACAGCCATGGGATGAACTGAAGATACGCCTCCTGGAGTGAAACGCTCTCTATCCCCAAAGAAACGTGTGTCTGGCAAAATGTATCCTCTAATAGACAAAACGTGCCCCTGAGCATGCTAGGAGAAGCATGAGTGTGGGGCTCTAAAGTCCCCACAGGACAGAAGATACCTAAGAGGTAAGAGGTACTGTAGTGTAGTAAGACCTTATTTCAGAAACTGGGGACAGTAGCCAGGCTGGGGTAGAAAGAAGTGCCAGCAAGGGCAGGGGGGTGCGGTGGTGGACTTCAGGCTGCAGGGAGAGAGAAGAGGTTTCTGGTGACTGCGCAGAGCACACAGAGCCTAGAAGCAGCCCTGGCCATGGTTCCCAGGAGCTCAGGCAGTCAGGTCCCGGTAGTCTGTGGGAGACAAGCTAAGAGGAGCCAGCAGCCTGGAGGATGGAGATTTAAATACACACATGTATACACCTGTGCACGCAAGCATGCACACACACGCCAAGAGCTATGTGGTCAAGTACTCCTTCTGTGCCTATCTACTCCCAAGCTCCAAAATGTAGGAAAGGAGTCTGGCCTTCCAAGTAAGAACGTGCTAATGAGCCACAGTAAAGATAGGGGGCCCAGACCAGAAGGTGGGGAAAGGAGGCAGCCAACCTCTTCTACCCATCTAAGTGGAGGTAGCAGAAATGCTAGCATTGTCAGAAACAAGCATAGGAGGATGGGGCAGAAGTCACAGGGAGGCTGATGGAACAGTCAGAGGTGCCCAAAAAGAGGAGAGGCTGTACTCAGGAGACATGACTGAGTTCACCATCCCTGAAGGTAATCAAGCAGAGGCCAGCCCATCCTTATTATCATAAAGGGATTCCAGTCTCAGGTGGGTGTCTGGGCTGCTTCACTGCTCCAGCCATTTCCAATTTGAGATTCTGAGTCCGGACCCTTGTGTGATGGCAAGGAGGGATGCAGTGTGGCTTTTTCTTTTCTTTTTAAATTAAAAAAAAAAATTTTTTTTAACGTTTATTTATTTTTGAGACAGAGAGAGACAGAGCATGAACAGGGGAGGGGCAGAGAGAGAGGGAGACACAGAATCTGAAACAGGCTCCAGGCTCTGAACGGTCAGCACAGAGCCCGACACGGGGCTCGATCTCACGGACCGCGAGATCATGACCTGAGCCCAAGTCGGACGCTTAACCGACCAAGCCACCCAGGCGCCCCTCTTTTTTAATGTTTTTAACGTTTATTTATTTTTGAGAGACAGAGAGAGACAGAGCATGAGTGAGGGAAAGACAGAGAGAGAGGGAGACACAGAATCTGAAGCAGCTAAAGGCTCTGAGCTGTCAGCACAGAGCCCGACACGGGGCTCAAACCCACAAACCGTGAGATCGTGACCTGAGCTGAAGACAGACGCTTCACCAACTGAGCCACCCAGGCGCCCCTCAGCATGGCTTTTTCTAAGACAAGCAGCTGTGGGGCCCAGGGCAGCACAGATGCCAAGGGAAGGGAGGAGCGACGTGTGCAGATGCTCAGACTGCCCTTCTGAGACGGCATCGCCAGAAGAAAAGAAGTGCTCCAGGGATGATCCTTAGGGCAAAGCAGCCCGGAGACCGCGGGGCCCTGAAGGGAAGCTGATGCTCTGAGCAGCGAGGCCAGGAGACCAAGACACCAGGTTAGCCCCAAGTCCCCAGAGATGTCTGTGAACCAGATCACGCTGTGTCAGGAAAGGACCAAACAGGCCCACCATGAAAAGGCCATCGGAGCACTCGGTGGGAAGTTCCAGAAAAACTTTCCCACAAAAAGGACCCAGGAAGCCATTCCCTGACAGACAGCTGACACAACTAACTTGGCTAATCCGACTAATTCAGTCGATACTTTCTTCACATTTCTCTCTACAAAAAGGCGAAAACATCGACATTTGAGCAAGGAAGGCCACGCTGTATTGGGGAAATGGGGAAATGGGAAAACAAATGGAAAAGAGAAAGAAACCATGTCTGACAGAGCTGCCTGGCTTTGGATCCGCTGGGCTCATGCTGCGGGTAATTTAGAACTGTCATATCTCATCAGAAAGTCACTGCCCATGACTCCTGAAAAACTGTGCAAGTAAGATGAGAAATGTCTGGGTTCTGCTAAAGGGCAAGTGTTTTCAAAGTGAAAACAGAACGACACGGAAAATTCCAGTTCAGTCAGCTATAGGGCAATACCTTGAAAAGGTGATAAAATCAACTTTTAGTCCGTGCACCTGCAGGCAGTGTGCAGTGGGGTCCGGGACAGGCCGCGCCCGGCATTAGGGAAAGCGAGGCCAGTCCACCCTGCTGCACAGATGCCAGAGAAGTACCCCTGTCACATCTCAGTGTGCAAACAGTTCATCCACATGGAAGAGGAAAGAATAATGAAATGGAAGAGGAGTTCAAGCTACAGACAACTTCTCCAGTGAGGGTCTACTTCCCAGAAAGTGGAGAAATGCTGAGAAGATGGTGCATCAGAGGTGGTGGTGGGGGGGTGGTGCAGGGAAATGCAGTGAGGACCTCAAGGTGGGTACTACAGTCTACTTGACTCCTGGCCCAAAGGCCCAAATCAGCAGGTGTCAGATTTGTTACGCCAGGGAGCACTTTTCTCCTAAATAGTTTATAGAAGCTCTATATCTATAAGCTGGAAGCAGCAGCCTCTCCTGGTTGAGGGGGGTGTGTGCAGAGGGGCGAGGGATGGAGTGGGTGGGGGACAGGCACTCCATCCACCAGGCTCTCCCGCCGAGGGAACCCTGGCCACCACAGAAGCGTCAGAAAAATCATTGAGCTGGATAAAGGAATTGAGAATAAAATTATTGAAGGTGACATTGATTACAAAATAGATAGATTCAAAAAAACACAAGGAGGCAGGAATGATTTTCATAAATAATCTCGAACAGTGGCAAAAAGAATTCAATGGACCAAAGTATTAACTCAAAATAGCCAGTGCAGGCAGGGCCATGAGCCTTCCTCCCCCACCTCCACTCCCCCCTACCATCAGGAACACATGCCAATCAGGAAACATAAATGAAGTCAGAGCAGCTCAGATTTCTCAAAGCAGGGAACAGGAAAGAGAGAAGTCTAGATTCTAGTTTTAAAATTGTAGACTACATATAGCTTTGATTCAGACTTGAATAAGCTCATTGGGTACGTCAAACAATGACTTTGCCTCAATTTATAACTTAAAAAGACGATTCTTGGGGCGCCTGGGTGGCGCAGTCAGGTTAAGCGTCCGACTTCAGCCAGGTCAAGATCTCGTGGTCCGTGGGTTCGAGCCCCGCGTCAGGCTCTGGGCTGATGGCTCAGAGCCTGGAGCCTGTTTCCGATTCTGTGTCTCCCTCTCTGCTCACACTCTGGCTCTCTCTCCAATTAGTAAATAAACATTTAAAAAAGATAAAAAAATTTGCATTTTAACTGTACAAATTAGTGGCATTAATTATATGCATAATGTGCAAACCATTACCACTCTATTTCCAAAATGCCCTAGTTCCAAAACCCTTCCATCACTCGATACAGAAACTCTGCACCCACGAAGCACTAATTCTCCATTCCCCATCCTGACAACCTCAGGACCCTCTATCTGCTTTCTGTCTCTATGAATTTGCCTATTCCAGATATTCTATACAAGTGGAATCATACAATATATGTCCCTTTGAGTCTGGCTTCTTTAAGCATGTTTTCAACGTTCATCCATATTGTAGCGTGTGTCAGAACTCCATTCCCTTCTGTGGGTAGGTGACAGTCCATTGCGTAGATATACCATTTTTGCTTATCTATTCATCTGTTGATGGACATTTGTGTTGTTTCCCCCTTTTGGCTACTGTGAATGTACCATGTACTTTCACAGCCACGAGATAGAGAAAGTGGAAGTGCTCCCGAGGGAAAAAGCAGGTTGGGAGTGAGGTGTAGGGGCAAGACAACAGAAAGACCAAAAGGCAGGAGGTGACTCAACACAGACTTGAGGAAGGAGCTGGTGGAGAGGCAGGGGACTAGGATTAAACCCTACGAGGCAGTGAAGTCACTGGCCAAGCACACAGCTCAACACGCCAACTGACCCAGGCCCACCCTGCCTCCCTCGGGGTGTCACCTTCTGTATCCGCTCAGGGGGAGGGCTAAACCACTCCGGAGGATTCCCAGTTGGGGGGTGGGGGGGGGCTTCCAATTCTGACAATTAGTCTACCAAGAACTTGACCATTAGGTAATTAAACAATTAACAATCTAACAAAATACCCTGCTTTGAGTGTGGAGAGAGAAAGGGGACTCTGGAGGTGACAAAGGTCCAATCCTTCCAGAAGAAGAATGTGGTTCTTACTGCAGTGTGTGTAGGGAATGATGGCAGAGTCTGCCCCCCACCCTGCCCAGGGCTTGGCTCCAAGTGAGTGTTGAGGAGGAGCAGAGAAATGGTTACAGCAGAAGCCGGAGGGGCTTGTCCCTGCCTGAGGACAGAGTGCTTTCTGGGGCCAGGCTGTCCCATCAGGGAAGTCTTAAACCACTAGGGAAGGAAATGACGGAAAGGCTTGGTGGACAAAGCAAAGGGGAACCTGAGTGATTTCCACCACAGACCAGAATGGCTTGTGGCCAGGTCTCCTGAAGGACACAGCCTGCCTAAGAGGAGGCAGGGGAGAAAAACACAGAATAGGATTTTCTGCCCACATTATTAGCTGTGTGGCCCTGTTTGAAACACTGAACCACTCTGGGCCACTCTCCTCATCTATATGATGGGCGATTCAAAAGCCATCATCCCTGTGGTCCCCCCAGAGCCAATTCCAGGCACATGGGGACACTGAAGGGGGTGTTGAGAGAGGTCTCTTCCACACTCAGCCTTTTAGCAAATATTTATTGACCATTGCTCCAAGCAGGCATGTGCAGGTGCCCTTCCTTCATCCTACCGGATACCAAGGGGACAGACAGAAGAGGCAGTGACACTACCTCCTTGTTGCAAAGATTTGCAAAGGCAGATTAAAGTAGCCAACACAAATAAGGCTCCACTGACAAAGTGCTCCCTATAGTCGAGCTTGCTGCAATGCCAATCAAGAGTTGTGCCCCAGCATAATGTACCCCTGACCCCAAGGGTGACTCCTGGGCTCCTGGGAGGAGCTCCTTATCAGTGGGCTGGGGAGGGAGGGAAGAAGGTGGCTGGGGGCTCAGGTGCGAGCTAGACTCACCTTCACGCAGGAATAAATCACGGACACAAACACCACCAAGGTCAGCAGCAGGAAACAGGTCAGGTAGAAACTCAACATGAACACGGAGCTGGAAAAAGAGAGGAAGTGGGGAATTCTGGGGCCCTGAAAACCTCTGGAAGGAAAAGGAAGTTGCTCCATTCCCCCTGAATCCATTGCCCAGTCTTTTCTAGCCCCTGATTCACTAAGAAGGGC